TCTAATGAAGTAGCTAATTAATGAAAACTGCATTACTGTATCATATGGGCATTACTACATGGCACACGACAGGACGGCCCCACCAGAAGAACTTATGAGCTTGGTAGAACCCAACCCGAAGGACCAGCAACTGCTCGTGGGTGCAGGCGCCAACGCGCACCACTGAGCCCCGACATAAGCGACAGAGGTGAGTCCCTCTTAGACTTTATACTCTCAACCAAACTGAGTATAGCAAACGTGGGGGAGGAACACGCCTTTGTAGGTCCCACCTCCTCAAACGTGCTAGATCTTAGGCCGCCCGCACACTGGCGGCGGAAAGCGGAGCTGAGAGCGGAGCTGATAAGCGAGCTGATAATTTTGTGCAAATTTCTAAGCTCAGCTCCGCTCTCAGTGTGCGCGCTCTCATACAAGTAGTGTGTTTGTTTCAAAGAGCTGATAAGCCGTCAGCCGTCAGCTCCGCTTTCCGCCGCCAGTGTGCGCGCGGCCTTACTTCTGTAAGGGGGCAAGGTACTTTGGTATCAGAATGGAGAGTCCTTGAGCGACCATCCTTCTCAGATCATAAGTACATATGGTTCCAATACGCATTCGAACACTCCCCAAAACAATCAGGAACCCCCGGAATACTAACGGTGGAAAAGCTGCTGCACTTATACATCAAGAACGATGTAGGGAGACTACTGTCGACCAACCAGCATGCCTACACAAAGGGGAAATCAGTGGTGACGGTACTACATTCGTTGGTAGCCACCATTGAGAGAGCCCTAAACAATAAGGAATATGCACTTGGAGTGTTCGTGGGCATATCCGGGGCATTCAACAATGTTATCACGGTCGCTATAATGGATCCCCTTGTGGATAAGATATCTTCTATGTTGCCGGCGGGTACAATCAGATTGGGGCACCGCTTCCATGATGAGAGGAGCGCACAGAGGCACGCCGCAAGGTATGGTTCTGTCGCCCCTCCTATGGAATCTGGTGGTAGACGACCTAATCAAGTGATTCGAGAGGAAAGCACCAAAGATAACAGCTTATGCGGATGACATACGCATAATTATTACGGGAGTCTGTCCATCAACCCTCAGCTCGATCATGGAAACAACGCTCAGGGAGATATGTGAGTGGGGGGAGAAGGTAGGACTCAATATCAATGCGGATAAGACGGACCTTATTCTCGTCATCAAGAGATACAAGGTGCCGCAAAGGATCCCCCCGAAAAGTAAAAAAACCAGGCTGACCCCGAAATCACAAGTCAAATACCTCGGCATTGTACTTGACAGCAAGCTGACGTGGAAGGCCAATGTAGTAGAGAGGGTAAAAAAGGCCAGCAGGACATGGGGCCTCTCACCCGCTCTAATGCATTGGGTCTACATTAGTGCTGGAACAAACATCGATGTTTATTCGATACAATCGATGTTTCAATATATACACCGACGGCTCCAAGATGGAAGGAGGAGTTGGAGCGGGCATATACTGTTCAGACCCTGAAATGAGGCTGTCGTATAAGCAACCAAGCTACTGCAGTATATTCCAGGCGGAAGTATTCGCCATCAGGAAAGCAGCAGACCTTGCGCAGAGCATAAACCGTCCACATGAGGCAGTCAAGCGGCGATAAAATCCATGCAATCATCAGCGGTCAGTTCCAAAAATGTACTGGCAAGCAGGGAGTCACTAGATAGCCTAAGCACGACTAAGTCAGTGAGGATCTACTGGGTTCCCAGCCACCAAGGCATAGACGGTAACGAAACCGCGGACGAACTTGCAAAGGAAGGCGTTGGACTGGCGAGTGAAAGAACAAAAAACGTCCCTATTTCCCTAAGAACGCTCCAAAGCGAGCTAGAGAGACGGGCTGACGCAAGCGCAGTATATTCCAGGCGGAAGTATTCGCCATCAGGAAAGCAGCAGAGTTTGCGCAGAGCATAAACCGTCCACATGAGGCAGTCAAGCGGCGATAAAATCCATGCAATCATCAGCGGTCAGTTCCAAAAATGTACTGGCAAGCAGGGAGTCACTAGATAGCCTAAGCACGACTAAGTCAGTGAGGATCTACTGGGTTCCCAGCTACCAAGGCATAGACGGTAATGAAACCGCGGACGAACTTGCAAAGGAAGGCGTTGGACCGGCGAGTGAAATAACAGAAAACGTCCCTATCTCCCTAAGAACGCTCCAAAGCGAGCTGGAGAGACAGGCTGACGCAAGCGCAAAAAGCAGGTGGAGGAGTAATTCCGCAACCTGCAGAATATCAAAAATCATGTGCAAAGAGCACAACGAGAAACTCACTCACTTCGTGCTGCATCTTCCGCGGAAGGACTGCAGAATATTAGTGGGTATTTTAACAGATCACTGCCTGTATGCTGCACATGCAGTCAAGCTGGGTATTACCGACAACGCCAAGTGCCGGAAATGCGATGAATCCGAAGCAATCGAAACCTTGGAGCATCTCATTTGCAAATGTCCGGCCCTAACGAGGGCAAGAATGAGATACCTAGGCTATCCAGTTTTGGCATCGCTAGAAGATGCCTCCAAGAGAAAGCCAGGCGAACTCCTTGCATTTGCGAAAAACACCTTGATATTCAAGGATCTCGAAACCCGCATAAATAGTCTTTAGGTCCATCCAGGAGTTTCCCCGGATAGCTATGGGCCGTATTGGCCTATGTGTGGCCCCTCGAGGGCTGTCCGGACTAAGCTAACCTAACAACCCTATTAAATTTAAAAAAAAACTGGAATGCCACGAAGAAGCATGGACATTTTAGAGACGATTTGTTCACTTTTTTAAATTTTTGTTGTAATGATTATTTTTAATTTCGGCCTATGGGCGCAACCACTGTGTAATGGGTCCAGCATTTATATAGGACAAGGCATAAACGGAGATAATTGGTTCAATGGGCAATTTAAAGCATCTCTTATTTTCTTTTGTGCCGCAGCCACATTCGCTTCGATGTCGTAATCTGACTCGATTTGCTAGTCATCACAACTGTAGGACCATGCCTGTACATTTAAAATAGTTCTAGTAACACTGGTGTTGGTGTAACTACGGATTGCCACAGTCTAGCTGGGGACCTTAGATTGTTGTTGGAAAGCTGATAAATCTCTACGGTTTTAGCTAAGTTGGGAACGTACAGCTGTGTTCACGGAAATAGCAGTGCCCAACGACCTGCACGTTTAAGATCGGAAAATCCTGTTACAAACACTATTTTCATAAATTTTTTTTTCATAAAAGCTTAGTATATTTAATTATTAACAATACCACAATAATTTAATTTAGGTAACATAAACCCTTTAGAAGATATAGCTAATAACAACAAAAAAGGTCTATATTATGCCGTTCATTGAAATAGCAGTGAAAAACTAAAATTCTTCATAAATTTAAAAATATCGTATAAGAAACCTATTTCTTCTTAAATTCTAATTGACTATGATCTAATATTTTGTTAAATAGCCTTTAGAAGCTATCATAGCCTCATACCTTGGTGGCAAGGAGTCCACCAAGTCTTAGCAACGCTTGAGGGGATTATGGTCTCATTCCTCCTGCACAAATCGCCAAAGATGCGGCTTAGAAGTCGGAAACTTCTCTAATACGTAGCCCTTGATGTCCCCCATAAGTTTTCGATCGAATTTATATCCGGGGACTGTGCAGGCCATGGCATTGCATCCACTTTTCCATTAAGAACCCACTCCTTGGCCACCTTGCTGGTATGATTAGGGTCACTGTACTGCTGAAATGCGCAAATTAATGGAATATTTTCCTCAGGATACGGCTGCAAGACAGTTTTTAATATTTGGACATAAACATAATGGTCTTTGATCCCACAGATCATATATACGGGACCTAAAACGTTGTATGAAAAGTATACCCAAACCATGATTTTTAGGCCACCATGTTTACTGTCTTCAGCGTATGGTTTGGGGGGCACTATCTATTTGGAGGTCTTGTCTTGTCCTATTCCACCAAATAAAACCAGTTTGGAGTCATTTGTCCAAAGGATATTACGCCATTTGAATACTGGCAGTTCAAGTGGCTATTGGCGAACTCGGATCTTGCCTTGATATGCCTTTAACCAAGCAGTGACATTTTCCATGGACTTCGCGAATCTAAAATTTATTCAATAAGTCCCCGGCGAATGGTCCCATGACTGATTCCCATGCCAATTCCCGCTCATATATCCATAGAGGATGCAAAAGGACGAGCTTTGCTGAAGCGAAATACGCGTCGAGCCTGTATAATTGTGGTTTTGCGAATCGTACCTCGGTTTTTTTGGGTTCGGTTCATATTTTATGACTTATAAACTATTTTAAAAGAACAATTTGAAAGATTTAGAGACTCTTTACATGTTTTGCTCTTCTTTCTAGGCTAAGTAATCTGATACCTTTCTATCATGGAGCAGTGAGGTCCTGCGCCCACTAAAATAATTTTTTTTGCGTTGTAAAGGTGTATTATAGTATAAACTATAATAACGACCTTAATTAAAGTCATTTTTTACAAAATTAAAAGAAATTTCGGCACTTTTTGCGAAAGAAAATTAAAAACTGCTATTTCAGTGATCGGCCAAAACGAGCTGCATATGTGAAAAATATCAATAAAACATAAAAATAGAGCAAATCTAACGGAATTTTTTCTCGATTCTTATCTTTATGTTCCATTTTACAAAAACAATGTGCAATAGATCAGCTTTCAAAAAGGAATATGTACAAAAAAACGTTTTGAAGTTGTTCCTCTGTCGCACTGCTATTTCAGTGAACACAGCTGTATTACTCCCGTGACTAGGTTGTTGAATATTGACTATGACTGGTTTAACACCGGTTGTGGGCGGCTACTGCCCAGCAGAAGCGTCACGCACGCACGGAATTTTGGGAACGAATCGTACAGAGCACTTTTAAGATAGAAGAACGCGAAGATAAAAATGAAAATTTGTCCATATTTGATATATAAACGAATATAAATATATGGTCTTCTTATGTGACTATAACTTAAAGAGTAGTAAGTTAGTTAGTTAGTTACTTACTTTAATTCATTCCGCATCATACGGTATATATCATATTGATAATCTCCAGTGGCTGAAAAAAGGTCTTCATCACTGGACAAATCATTAAAATAGCAAGACTGGCCAATAGTTATTCTTGAAAGAGTGTAGTCAATAATAGATATTTTCACTCCTTTTGAAGGAAGTGTCAAGTCCTTGTTCTTAAATTTAAAATAAATATCTTTCTTGTCAGTATCTTTAATTAAAACGTTGCCCCAATGAAGGTCTCTGTGCTCAAATTGGCACTCTTCTTCCCCAATGGCCAGGGTTAATATAATCTAAAAAGAAAAACAAGTTCGAGTTTTACCTATCTGTGCAAATATATTATAATATATAATATTATAAGGAATTTACCTGTTGCAGCATAAAATAAGATTGTGCTGCATTGGTAAATGTAAAATTTGACATGTCGTTTCCCGCAAACTCCAATTCAAGAACTAAAAAAAGTTGTTTGTCTCCAAAAACTCGGGGATGTTCATTCTCAGAATTGTTTTTAGCGTCGTATTGTTCCCAAAGCTTTACCAAATGTTGTGGATATTTGCCGCTAACTAGTGTGGTCTATAAACAAAAAAATAAACAAAAAGTTAAATTAATTAATGTTAAAATGTTAATCAAAATGTTATTAATGCGTAAAATTGTTTTGTATACTATGAGTACTCTTAAAGCCAATATCATACACATCTATATATTTATCCATCTTCTATATAAAAGAACGTCATGTTAATAGACTTTTGGGGGTGGTAAGGGTGCATCCAGACCAAGGCAAGATCCGCATAGTTTTTGCTGATGTATATTCTTTGGCTTTACTGGTGCACCAAATCGGCTCGTAGGTGAATATCAATTTGAAAGACACCACCCTCTCCGCGGAGAGGGTCCTCCGCGTGGTACCTCCAGGAAAGGTAATACGGAACGGCTAATGCGAGCGGTATTTCCCGTGACTCCCACACCCGAAATCCTATGACTCCCAATCCTCACAGACACCCGGGCAAGTCTGGAAACGGCCTCCCATTAAATCAGGCGTGCAACGCAACCCGTGCCCTCTGACTATAAAGTTTGCATCTGAGGGGTTAATCCAACTGTGTCCTTAAGGAGCCATCCCAGGGTCGGGCAACAATTGTCGGAACTTGCCTTAGCTTGGCCCTCGTGCTCACCGCGTTCGCCTAATCGACCAACGCGGACGACAATGAACATGGAAAAAAAATCCGCTTCGGACCTCATGGGGAAGTAAAACCCCACTCCAAATGTAATCTATCCGAGATAGACAAAGATGATCTATTGCGATCGAAGGACGAGACATCTACTTCGGAGGGGAATGCCAAATCGAGCACCCCTCTAACGCTATAACCATCCAAAAGCAAAACCGAGGCAAATCATGGCAAGATTGAAAGGAAAGACGGAAGGACAAAGCCGCGGACCGACCAATAGGTTAAAGCGCAGGCTAGCAAGGCCAATTTCATTCTGGCTTAGATTGCATGAAGTGAAAAAGAGGGCAAAGCAGACCCGCACGACCTAGCAGACAAAGCTCGTTTTCAGGCAGTGGTAGGAGAGTACGAGCGAGACGAGAAGCCACAAGCGAAGCGCAACCGCTCACAGGAGGTAAATGAGAGCGCTCCGAAGAGAGCAAAGAACGTCAAGAGAACCCCGAGACCGACATAGTTCGTCACGCCGGCAAAGAAGTTCAGCGAGGTGGCTAGAGGCAGCCTTACCATGGCACTGATAGACGGGCACAATGATGATCGACGCCTTCTGTTGGGGAAATGGGTGGAGGTCGAGACCAATCTGGCGGAGATGGTGACAGACAAATTACTAACCAAGTCAACCGGTCGGACACCCTCGTTTGATTCCTCAGAAATGATTAGAGGGCACCGAGCGATCAGGTACGACGATTAGTCCCCAAGAGTCTTCCTGGAGAACTGCGTTGCTAAGTTTAGCAATGCATGGAAGGGAATCAGCATCAATCTCGTCCAGCTAGCCTCGTCGAAAGCGCTTTCTTCGATGGATCAGCAAATGTAGTGATTGAGAAAAATCGGAGAATCATCCCAATTAATAATGTTTTATATATCCTTGCGCAAAAATAAAATTTTTTTTTTCTTTTTTTTAGGCTTTGCTTTTATTTATTGAATCTTCTCATTTATGAGACTAACAATAAGTGTATCAAATCTTACAAAACTACCTAACTAGCAGTCATGAGACTGGTACAGAGTAAATGGCCCTGACTAATTATGGCTCGGTTGGATGGTCGTTACGTAGTAGACGGCTTCTTCTGGAAACTCGTATCAAGTCCCTTGCTAGAGGATTCGGATGGGCGGAGAGTTTTTCCTTGTAGGACGCTTTTTGTTTTTCTATTTCGTTCTTAACTGCAGGAATGCCGAGATCCCTGTGGATGTGTTCATTGCGAATATACCATGGTGCCCCAATGATAGTTCTCAAGATTTTTGATTGGGCGCGCTGAATGATGTCTAGATTGGTGCTGCACGCGTTCCCCCAGAGCTGGGAGCCATACGTCCATATTGGCTACAGTGTGGAGTTGTAGAGCAGGACCTTGTAGTCCAGACACAGGGGCGATCGGGAGCTTATGAGCCAGTGGAGGGCATGTTTGTCTGTTGAGAGTGAACGTTATGTGCTTACACTTTTGTTCATTTATTTTAATACGCCAATCAGATAGCCACATCTCGACTACCATGAGGTGGTTGGCGAGATACGACTCGAGGCATGAGGCCGTTGAGCCAGACGCGGTGGAATGCTTGAGAAACATCGAGAAATATCGCGCTGCAATATTCTCGATGCTCGAAGGCTGTGCGAATTTCTGATTCTGGAGTTCATTTATCATTTTTTGAGTTATTAGGTCATCGCCGGGAGCCTTTTTCGGCTTCAGTTCTCTAATGACCTTCGTGGTCTCGTTCGGACGAAATGATGCTGGAGTAGATTCCGTTTCATTTTGGATTTGCGGTAGTTCAAAATGGATTTGCAGTAGGGTTCGGCTGGAAAACGCCCTGGAGATGTGAGGCAAAAGTTTCGGCTCTGTCTTTGTCGCTGCGGGCCCAGCAACCGGATGACTTTCTTATCGGGGTGATGGTTTCAGTCGGAGAGCTTAAGTTTGGGTGAGCTCTCCATAAGGGATGCTTTGTGCTGGTTGGCGATAGTTTCTCAATATATCTTAATTGTGCATTTTCGGCATCTTGCTTCAGGGTCCGGCTTAGTTTGCGCGTGGCTTCATTTAGACGTTGCTTTGACGCTGCATGGCGATCTATTGGCTTGCCACGCCCGTCGCAGACGCCTCCTTTCTTGGATAAGCACAAGTACCTCTTCCAGAGTGGAGGTGGGGCAGTCGATGTCGGCTTCAGTATTGAGCTGGGGGGCTGGCTCAATGTAAGAACTCACGTACTTTTTGTATTTCATCCAATTTGTTCTGTGCGACGTCAGCCTGTAGGGGCGATCCGTAGTTTCTGGGCTTTGAAGGAGGGTTATCAACAGCGGCGAGTGATCTTTTGGACACACAAAATATCATTGCCAAAAGCTTTTCAACTGCGTCAGATGCGGCCTGCAACACGGTGTGGAGGCCTGCTTAAAGGATCTTCACCCAGTGAAGTGTGTAATCTGTGGCGGAGACCATACTGCTAGCTACAAAGACTGCCTCGTTTATCAGCAAGTTGCTAATCGACGGAAAAGTGTCACAACTCATCGCAGCACCGCTCCCCAACAGCCAGCTCATCCAATAGTTTGGTCTAACCTTGTTACTTCAAGCTCCTACGCTAACGCAGTTCGTGGGCAAGTTAGTCGCCCCCAGCACCATGCTCCTATGAATGCCCTGCAGAGTCAACAATTTCCCCCATTGGGCAGTTGCAATAGTAAGAAAAGTCAGCTACGCCACCAAAAGGTACCCCCTCGACAGCAGCAGCAGCAGCAGCAACAGCAGCAGCAGCAACAGCAGCAGCAGCACCATCAGCAGCAACAGCACCAGCCGCAGCGTTCACAACAACAACAACAGCAGCAGTCTTTCCCTCAACAACAGCGACGCAGCTCGCAGCAATCTTTCAACGACCATCAGTGGCAGCGCCAAGAGCAAATGTTCTTGCAATCGAACGAAAGAATTTCGGTCCTTGTCGCCCAGTTTGACAAATTATTCCAAATGATGGTGTCGATGATGGGTCTTGTCTCTAGACTCCTACCACAAACTTCTCCAGGAACTGCACAAGCAGTTGCTGGATTTTTCCCAGCTAATATAGTCCAACAATGAGTCAAATTGGCCTTAACATTGGTGTGTGGAACGCCGACGGACTTGCCAACAAAGCCCTTGAGCTGGAGCTCTTTGTGCAAAGTCATAATATTGATATTAAGCTGGTCAGTGAAACACACTTTTGCTCAAGGTCGTTCTACAAATTGCACGGGTACGATATCCATCAAGCTACTCATCCTGCCGATCGAAAACGCGGTGGCTCAGCAATTATTATAAAATCCTGTCTTCAATATTACCAGTTGTATAGTATGCAAAGTCCAAATTTACAATGTGTAGCAGTTAAAGTTAAAACTGATCATGGCGAAACTGCTATTGCATCCATCTATTGTCCACCAAATTTTCAATGTTCTGCTGACGACTTCGAAAAACTTTTTGACGATCTTGGAAGGAATTTCATCGTCGCAGATGACTGGAATGCTCATCATCGCCTTTGGGGGTCTCGAAACTCAACTACCCGCGGAAGAGCACTCGCCGACATAGTTCAAAGGTCTTATGTCCAGGTCCTTGCAACTATCCTCATAGCCAAAGAACTCCAACAGCTATTGACTTTGCTGTCTACAGTGGGATACGACCTGAGTGCCTCACCATCTCAGAAAGTTAGCTCTGATCACATCCCATTGATAAGTTAAGAGTTGCTGCGCAGAAAATTTGCCATAGGCATCGCATCCTGCCTCGAAATGCGAACCTTCCACGCTTCCAAGCTACAGTTAACCGGCTTGTTAACCTCAAAATGCTGTTAAACTCTCCGGACGATATAGACGCTGTCGAGATACTTATACGAAATATTCATACCGCTGCCGAGGCCTCAACCTGTGGACAAGTACCGAACTCATCTAACCCACCTCAGGCTCTTTTAAACCCTGAGGTTATGAATCTAGTAAGGTTGAAGAGATCCCTTCGGCGCAGATATATGAGATCCCAAGACCCATCCGACAAAGCTGCATATCGACGCGCCGAAAACGATCTCAAAAAGCTTCTGTATGAGACAAAGCGTGAATATTTTGATGAGATGCTCCTCAACGCTGACCCCACCAAATCGAACGGCTTCAACCTCTGGAAATGTACCCGGAATATTAAGCGACAACCCATCCGAAAGATCCCCATTAAGAAATCTGACGATACATGGTGCAGGTCTGATTCAGAGATTTCACTAGCTTTTGCGGATGAACTAGAGAAGCGCTTCCAGCCTTTCGACCTCGCGAACCCCGAGGATGTTTAAGAAACATTAGCCTTCATAAATGCCCCCTCCCCTGAAGCGGTTCCGATCCAACATGTAAGCCCAGAAGAAGCTTGTCTTCATATTCGAAAGCTACATCCCAGT